AACTTTCAATTGTAGATGAGCCACCGCACTATGCTGAAGTGGAGCCCAATGTACATCTATTCCCTTGGTCAGAATACCTAGGAGGAATTTTTTAACTGAAATAATGGGAACTATATAAGAATCAGCAGATGATTATTTTAAAAAAAAAAAAAAATTTGAATTGGGCAATTCTATTTAATCTTAGAGTCATTTTTTTTCAAGTGCGTAAATAGTGAAATTGCATTTTTTTTATTTTTTATATTGCAATTAGTCTATTGAGATATTGTTAGATTCCATAAATTTCAGGTCCTAAAGTTAATCCTAGTTTTACCTGAAGGAATCAATTGATAGCAGACTCTTGCGGGAACATAAAATCTTTTGGCATTGCACATTTTTATGTACAATTGACATCATCCTTTCCTGGTTTACTCGCGAAGATTTGCACCAAATTCCTGATTTGAGCAAATTTAGCCAACATAAGTTTAACCTTTTTTCTCTTTGAAGGAAATTATGTTGATAGTTTCATGGGCAAAAATAGCAACAAACTTTCTGAATTCACATAAATCTTCCCCTTAAATTTGATACAAGCTTCAGTACAACTTACTTTTCCCCCTATTGGCATTTTAGCTATTTATCAGCTATGAGCCTCTTATGAAGTGATGGAATGTTAAGAAAAAAGACAGATAAATATTAAATATCTGAAAAATGTGTACATTTCGGCTTTACATTAAAAAAAAAACTAAAAATATGTTAAAAATGTAGAAATATTATTGTATTTAATTTGGATTTTTTGGCAAAGATTTAGTTTTTTTTTTTTTTTGCCATGATCCCTGTTTTGACTTTTTTTTTTTGGATTTATTTGAAATATCCCCAATTGTAAATCAAATTTTCTTAAATACATATTTCTGTAATTTTTAAGCTTATTTTGATCATTGGAGGTTGTTTTTGGGTTTATTTTGATTTTCCTACATTTTCTTTATTTTTCATATGTTTATATTTTTTCTAGGGCTTTTGGTCGGCTTAGCCAAGGGCCAAGTGTGGTGATTTTCTAAACCTTGTTAAGCCAAAAGATATTCTGCTCCCTCGGATCGACTGGTCTGACTAGTCAAAAATTGGTTAAACATTGATTTTTACTGATTTTCGACAAATTGGTTAAACATTGATTTTTACTGATTTTCGACAAAACCTGATTTAAGCTTTGGTCTGTACTAACAAATGTAGCAATTGATAGTCCGATTGACTAGTCCATTCGCGGTCTTGGTAACTATGGACACCGTGTTTTACATAAAAAAATAAGAAAATAAAAAATCTTACGCTTTCGTTTGGAACAATGGTTTAAAAAACGGATCGGTGACCCGGATCGGGCTTCCAAAAAACCGATCTGGATCGGCGAATCGGTGATCCGGATCAGGAATCGGGTGAATCGGTCAGAATAAAGCTTAAAAAAAATTCAAAAAAATTATTAAAATTCATTATAAATATTGTTTTTTAGGAATTCAATAAAAACTGAGGGTACTCCATTAAGAATTTTCATGTTTTTTAATGAATATGCGAATATTGATATGTTCTTTCCCTGCATGAACTGCCATTCAGCATTTAATTTACAGTATTTCGTGCTCATCCCTACATTGTTGCTGTTGGGACTCGATATGTGAATAATATGGCTGGGATAGGGTGGCCTCAGAATCATCATCTCTCTCATTTTCTCTTTGAATAATATGGATTAAAAAAAAAAAAACAAATTTTCAAAAAAATCGATCATGGATTAAAAAAAAAATCACAAAATTG